AGTCACATCGTCGGCTGCATGTGGACAGCGCAGACGTCCCTTTCTCGTTGCATGCGCAACAGGGGGGCCCGCCGCCGTCTCGCGGGATGAGGGTAGGTGGATGGGGTTGGGTGTAGTCCGATACACGCTCGCTCATCCGAAAAGGAGGAGAAACAGCCGAGAAATCACCAACACCATCACAGGCAGTTTGCACATAAGAAAACTTTGAACTCCACAATTACTGTTGCCTGCAAATGATACTCCCAACCCATCGTCTCATGGAACCACACACGTCAAAACGTTTGTCGTCCGGTACCCACATATCGTCGTTTCGGTGACCACCCGGTCGTTCTGTAGTATCAATGGCCACACTGGCGACTGCTCCTGGAGGAGCGACGTTGATTAGACATAATGGTTTGATCTCTGGGCTCGTATATAGAAACGCACCATGTTGAGCTCTTGGATCCGTCCCCTCCTCGATCATCACAAACGCATAGAACGTGTACGCGCTCGCCCACTGCTATTCTCCCCCGCAGCACTCAATTTCGGTACTCGCCTTTCGGGAAGCTTTCCGTAAGGACGATCCTTTTCATTCGGAGGGCACGTTTATGGTGCCAAGGGACTACGCGGGCATGATAGCGCCAGAGACTGAGCTTTTGACGGATACGTACAAGCTGGATAAACTCTAGAGCATGCAAATCGGTCCGAACTTTGAGGGATAGTAGTGGTTTTTACAGAACACTACTCTCGGAGGGCATAGTGAGTGAACGAACATGGATGTGGTTTATGTCGATGAACTTGTTACTTGACTCATCGTATAAGTATGATATTTCAATAGGAGGCCTTTATCTTCTTAAAACCCATCAGACATCCAGTGCATTGGCGCGTGGTGTGAGCTGGTGTGTGAGTGGCGGCCGGCGGCACTGGGTGGTGCGCTCGGCTGTGCGGTGGATGGGGCTGGCATGCTTATCGCTGATTGACTGATTTGTCCATGTGCGGATTCATGATGGACTGATGGACACATTTCGCCGTTGCGCGAGGCGTTAACGTCTTGCGACATCCAGTCCTGTCGCCACCAGCTCAAGTCCACTTGATGGCTGCCTCACTTCCACATACTGCGTTTCACAAACACAGACCTGAGGCAACGCTGAGCAGTTTATATAGTTCGTAGCGAGAAACTAAGAACTCCCGCATACCACCAGGCCATTTCATGCAAAAACTGACAGACACTTGACCTCCATGAGATCTTTCGGTAAACGAGGGGCGACAAGTGTTCGTCTTGAGTCTCGTACAGGAGAAAGCAGCAGCAGATGCAGACTCACAAATATTGCACGACCGGCAAACCAATCATACAATGAAAACACACACAAGTCACAAAGCATGCATTGCATGTTCGGAAAGGCCGGTGAGGACCTTGCCGAGTATCAGTTCCGGATTAGCTGGGCGCTAGGTCCCAGAGCCGAAGTGCTTTCACTTCAGTGAGACAAACAAGTCATACACTGGTGACGTCCATAAAATGCATCTAACTACACCCAACCTCCTCCAGTGACCCTCATCCCGCGAGACGGCGGCGGGCCCCCCTGTTGCGCATGCAACGAGAAAGGGAAGTCTGCGCTGTCCACATGCAGCCGAGGATGTGACTGCCGAGGCAAGAAACGCCTCTGCACTGACTGTGTCAACTGCAAGCGCGGCACGTGCACGAATTTTGTGTATCCCGCGGACCCGGTCGTTTGCAATGTTGATGATGCCGTCTCCCCTTCTGCTGGCTCTGCCGTGCCCTCCACAGCTTCCTTTGTCGATGAGAAGATGCGCGAGGCCTTCGGCGAGCCCCTGGTCAACTCCACTGGTGGATCGACTTTTCCCGAGTGGGAGGCGTATCACCAGCGGATCTGCCAGCTTCGACTGCGCTACGTGAAGGATCTCAGCAACCTTGGCAACCTAGGCCGCGCCATCGCCGATGCCATCGCTGAGGAGGTGGAGAAGATCTCCAAGCTCGAGGCACCGTCCCAGCAGGTCTTCGTCTTCATCCGCACACTCATCCAGCGGGATCCTGATGTCAAGAAGAAGCGCGATGTCAAGCGGATGCTCTGGAGGCGGCTGGAGATGTGGCAGGAGGGACAAGTGGAGGAGCTTGTGTGCGAGGCGGAGCGACTGGACCAGCAATTCCCCACCACTCAGCCTCGGCTGGACGACGCGTCGGTCTATCGCATCTTCAACAAGCTCATGCTCGAGGGCAAAGTCCGGGCGGCCGTCCGCTTCGTCAACGAGAGGGGCGGCGGGGGGGTCCTCCACCCATCCGCTCAGGCCGAGAAGCGCCCTCCGGGGGTCACGGTGCTCGATGTCCTTCGCGAGAAGCACCCACCACAGCAGCAGCCGCACGAGGAGGCCTTCCTTCCCTGTGACAACCTTCCTCCCCTCATTGACGTGGACATCACGGACTCGACCGTGGAGCGAGCGGCACGGAGCCTCAGTGGGAGCGCTGGACCGACCGGTGGCGATGCGAACTTCTGGCAGACCTTCCTCCTCCGATACGATGCCAAGAGCGGCCGCCTCCGCACGGCTGTGGCCTCACTCATCTCTACCCTGGCCAACACCATCGTCCCATGGGACAACATCAAGGTCCTGTGAGCGTGCCGCCTCATCGCTCTCGACAAATGTCCTGGCGTCCGCCCCATCGGCATCGGAGAGGTGCTATCTCGACTGGCCGGCAAGTGTGTGGCCTCGGTGACCCGCTCTGACCTGGAGGCGACCTGCGGCACCGATCAGCTGTGCATCGGAGTGAAGGGAGGCATCGAGGGAGCTGTGCACGCTGTGAATGACCTGTTCCAAGAGGACGAGACCGAGGGACTCCTGCTGGTGGACGCAAGCAACGCCTTCAATCGCATCAGTCGGCCTGCTGCCATCTGGAACACCCGCGTGCTGTGGCCCCGCTGCTCTCGCTATGTGTTCAACACCTACCGAGGGTTCGCCGCCCTTCACCTGCAAGACTCAGCCGGCTGTCTGTGGAGCTGTGAAGGCGTCACACAGGGCGACTCCATGGCGATGTTCGTCTACGCCTGTGGCAGCCTTCCCCTCATCCATACCCTGCGGGCTGCCTGCGCGGAGGAGGGATATGAGATGCCGTCGAGTGGGGCATGGGACGACTCGGACAGCGATGGTTCTAGATCAGACAAGGGCGAGAACAAAAATGCGCCATCAGAAGCGCAAGAGAGGCCAGAAGAAGCTAGTGACATGCCACCAGAAGCACGGGGGGATGATGCGGGTGTGCGTGTGTGTTCTGGTGTAGAAGGTGTTGGTGCTGGTGAGGAGGAGAATTCGTCGGCCTCGTCGGCCCCTTCATCTGGCGCTTCACTGCGACAGTGCTGGTATGCAGATGACTCATCGGCGCTCGGCAAACTTCACGGCATCCTGATGTAGTTTCGAGCCCTGCGTCGCATCGGCCCTCATAAGGCTATCACCCGGAGGCCGCCAAGTGCTTCCTCGTCGTCAAACCCGAGCTCGAGCAGATCGCAAGGGAACTCTTCGAGCCCGAGGGGGTGCAGATTGTCACGGGCAAGAGGTTTCTGGGCGGCTATGTGGGCGATGAGGAGGGGAGGGCAGCCTTGCTCTGCGAGAAGGTCGAGGGATGGGTGCGCGGCGTGCGCGCGCTCATGTCTGCTGCCCGCAACTTCCCGCACACGGCCCACGCGGCAATGACGAGGTCTCTGCAGATGGAGTGGGACTACGTCTTTCGTGTTGTGCTCACCGACGAGTGCGCTCTCAGCCCCCTCCGCGAGGCCATCGCCAGGGAGCTACTGTCGGCCCTCCTCGGCGGCCCTGTGACGCCGTCCGAGGTCGACCTGATGCTGCTGCCTGCTCGCTTTGGCGGTACCGGCATACGTGACCCTCGCGACCGAGCCGCAGCCGCATACCCTGCTTCCCGCGCGGGCACCACCTGCGCATGCACGTGTGGACTTGGAGTGCGTGTATATGATGAATGTGTCTGTGCGCATACCTGCGCATCCCTGCGTATACACGTGTGGACTTGAAGTGCGTGCATATCATTACAGGTGCGCATGCACGTGTGGACTTGGAGTGCGTGTATATCATGAATGTCTGTGTGCGCACACAGCTACCTGCGCATGCACGTGTGGATTTGGAGTGCGTGTATATAATGAATGTGTCTGTGCGCACACCTGCGCACATCTGCACATGCACGTGCGCATGCATGTGTCAACTTGGAGTGCGTGTATATCATGAATGTCTGTGTGCGCACACCTGCGCATGCACGTGTGGACTTAGAGTGCGTATACTGCGCGTGCACGTCTTGACTTGAAATGCGTGTATGCATACACTCCAAGTCGACACGTGCATGCGCAGGTGTGCATATACGCACACTTGAAGTCCAAACGTGCATGCACAGGTGTGTGCACACAGACATTCATCAGACACGCATACTCCAAGTCGACACGTGGATGCGCAGGTGTGCGCACACAGACATTCATCATATGCATACACTCCAAGTCGACACGTGCATGCGCAGGGGCGCGCACACAGACATTCATCATATACGCACACTTGAAGTCTAAAGGTGCATGCGCAGGTGTGCGCACACAGACATTCATCAGACACACATGCTCCCAAGTCGACACGTGCATGCGCAGGTGTGCACATAGAGATCCATATGACAGAGAATTGGAAGACAAACAACAGAGAATTGTCACTCACGTACTTGGGTGTAAGTGACAACCGAGGGGGCGCTAAAGATGGCGCAGAGCAGGCTCGAAAAGGCATTATTCAGCAAACCACCCTGATACACACACATGTCACATACGATGTCAAAGAATGTAACTAACAACAGACCTGTCGGACGAGGTTGAATTGGTCGCATGCGGTGGGCAGCAAGCTGAGCTTGGCGGTGGCTGTGAGGTCGCCCATACACTCCAACCCAGACAGTATGAACGCAACTATCATCGGCAGCATCAAAGATCCATCGAACGCCACACCGTACCTACACAGACACACACATTCGACAGATACGCGTGTGTCGACACATGCATCTGGTTTCTGCTTTGCTGCCTCACTTGAATGGCGCTTCAGCGACTACAGATGTCAACCAAGGGGCAGTGATCCACAAAGGGTTTTCGTTGTTGATGAATCCGTCACAGCCCCAATCGGCCCATGCGCGCACCTTCTCGTGCCGAAACACAGGGCGAAGATTGTGCCGAAAAGAGTGCAGAAGACCATCGCGCCGCTCTTGAAGATGGGAATGGAGTACTTTGCGCCGAGCCAATAGAAGCCGACGATCATGCAGATGGTGAAGAGCCCCAGCCCCCACTCATTTGGCGCTCCGTAGGGATCGACGGGGCCGATATCGCCTGCGAGCTTGTTGACGCCCGTTTCGAGGATGGAAAGACCAATCGTGAACACCATAGTACCCTGCACACACAAAGGGTATGGATCAGCACACCCGGCCGACTTTGTCAGCCTACCGTGACGAGTGGTGGGAAGATCGCCTTCATTTTGGTTAAGGGTACGAACGCCATAAACACACACTCCAAGTCGACGCGCGCATGCGCAGGTGTGCGCACAGAGGCATTCATTATACACACACACTCCAAGGTGTGCGCACAGAGGCATTCATCATATATACACACTCCAAGTCCACAAGCGCATGCGCAGGCGTGCGCAAAGAGGCATTCACCATATGAACACACACTCCAAGTCCACACGCGTACGCGCATTGGTGTACGCATTGGTGTGCGCACAGAGACACTCATCATATAAACACACACTCCAAGTACAAACGTGCATGCGCAGGTGTGCGCACAGAGACATTCATCATGTGCACATACTCCAAGTCCACACGCGTACGCGCATTGGTGTGAGCAAAGAGACATCCATCATATAAACACACTCCAAGTACAAACGTGCAGGCGCAGGTGTGCGCACAGAGACATTCATCATATAAACACACACTCCAAGTCCAAACTTGCATGCGGAGGTGTGCGCACAAAGACATTCATTAAACAAACACACACTCCAAGTCCACGCGCACATGCGCAGATGTGCGCGCAGAGGCATTCATCATACACACACACTCCAAGGTGTGCGCACACAGACATTCATCATATACACACGCTCCAAGTCCACACACGTACGCGCATTGGTGTGCGCAGAGAGACATCCATCATATAAACGCACACTCCAAGTACAAACGTGCAGGCGCAGGTGTGCGCACAGAGACACTCATCACAGAGACATTCATTATATAAACACACACTCCAAGTCGACGCGCGCATGCGCAGGTGTGCGCACAGAGATATTCATCATATATACACACTCCAAGTACAAACGTGCAGGCGCAGGTGTGCGCACAGAGACACTCATCATTCAAACACACACTCCAAGTCAACGCGCGCATGCGTAGGTGTGCGCACAGAGACATTCATCATATACACACACTCCAAGTCCACACGCGTACGCGCATTGGTGTGCGCACACAGACATCCATCATATAAACACACTCCAAGTACAAACGTGCAGGCGCAGGTGTGCGCACAGAGACACTCGTCATATAGACACACACTCCAAGTCCCCATGCGCATGCGTAGGTGTTCGCACAGAGGCATTACTCATATAAATACACACTGCAAGTCCACACGCGTATGCGCATTGGTGTGCGCAAAGAGACATCCATCATATAAACACACACTCCAAGTACAAACGTGGAGGCGCAGGTGTGCGCACAGAGACACTCATCATATAAACACACACTCCAAGTCAACGCGCGCATGGGTAGGTGTGCGCACAGAGACATTCATCATAGAAACACACACTCCAAGTCCACACGCGTATGCGCAGGTGTGCGCACAAGGACATTCATCATGTGCACCCACACTCCAAGTCCACACGCCGCAGGTGTGCGCACAGAGACACTCATCATTTAAACACACACTCAAAGTCAACG